CTGGGGCAGAGCAGCTGGGGTGCTGCCGGGTTGGTCCCGCCGCACCAAGGGTCGGTGCTACCAGACCAACCCAGCAGCACTCCAGCTGCTCTGCCCCAGGCGTGTCCGATTCAGCCGCTGCTGGTCAGTTTCAACAGCGGCTGAATCTGGACGCCTGGGACAGAGCAGCTGGGGCACTGCCGGGTTGGTCCCCACAGCGCCGCACCTCGGCACTGCGGGGACCAACCTGGCAGCACCCCAACTGCTGTACCCCAGGTGTTCCCAAGTCAGCTGCTGCTGAAACTGATCAGCAGCTGATTCCAGGAAGCCCGGGGCAAAGCAGCTCTGCCTCGGCCTTCCTGTAGTCAGCCTCTGGTCAGTTTCAGCAGTGGCTGAATCGGGGACACCTGGGGTACAATATGTACCAGTTCTGACTCACATACAAATTCAACTTAAGAACAAACCTACAGTCCCTATCTTGTACGTAACCCAGGGACTGCCTGTATTAATATTACTATATTATTGAAGAAAAAATACCATGTTTGTCACTAAGGATTTATCCATATTTATAGATATGTTCAAGATGAATGAAATGTCTTAATCAACTGTGTTTCAATTAATAATCTTGTCAACATTTCATCCATAACATTAAAGTAGGAGCAAACATTAAGCATGATATTTTTGCCCTCATTTAAAAAATATCCTTAATTCAGGTAACGTAATGACTTTTAATGATCCTTAGATGTATAAATAAAGGAATACTGGATAAAAGTAAGGAGATATTACTTATGTATGTGATACTGGTGAGGTCACTCATTGAAAAATTGGTGAAGGTTCATTGAAGAGCTGCCAGGATTATTTGAGGGCTGATCTTATAATGAGTTTTAAGGAGTTCCATATATTAAACTTACTTCAGTGAAACTTAAAAAATGACTTGACCATAGTCCATAAATTACCTACATGTCTATAGTAGAGGGGTCATTAATGTGGCAAATAAAGACAAAATAAATATCCAGCTGCTTAAGCTAAGAATATTCTAAAGGAAAATACTGCAAATATTTTTATTAGCTAGGGTAACTAACCTCTGGAATACCTTACTAAGGAAAGTGATGGATTTTTATTCACTAGGCATTTTAAAATTGAGATTATATGTCTTTCTAGAAGAGATTCTAGATGAACCACAATTTTTTGACTCAGCACAAGAATGCAATGCCCTATCTTATGCAAGAGATCAAACCACATGGTCATAATAAGCCCAATTGGTCCTAAAAATCTATTAAACCTCAAGTGTGAATGTTTTGTTAAATATAATGTTCAAATACTCCATAAACATAAAAAACTGTGAACAAAAACAAATAGAGCATACTGATACATTTTCTCTTCAATTTTATTCAAAGGGCCTATGAGATCACAGGATAATCACTGCAATGGTTCTGAACTGTCGTGTTTTGATAGACCCCGGCTTAATGATTATGCTCACAGAACATGTTGTCAGTGTCAACGAGATGCATCACAGACATGCGGTAAGTTAGGTCTCCATAGGGCTTTATGAAGATGAGAAGTCTAAACAGTGGGAACACATGGAATGCTGAGCTTTTATCTAGCAGCTGAGTTGCTTTGATTGGTATCTTAGTTCAAACAAGGTTATTTGGCATGATCAGTCTTCTTAAGTTAGGACTTATTGTAACTGTTAAAAGAAGGTGGTCTTCTCGTTATAGGCCTTGAATTTTCCAAGCAGCTTTTGAGGTAGACTTTGTTTTATTGTTTTGGATTGGTTGATCATCCCTGTAAATAATCTGCAAGTTAAGATATGTGGAAGATAAGGTGGATGAGCTAATATCTTCTATTGAACCAACTTCTCTTGGTTAAAGAAACAAGCTTTTGAAGTTAAAAGAGCTCTTCTGCGGGTCTCTTTAGACCTGTTTGCTTCCTGTTGCTCTTAAAAAGTACAGTTAATTCAGGCTTTGAGATTTAAATCGATGTGTGTGTTCAATCAGCATGAACATTAGCATTTTCACAGTGAACCTAATCCCATACATTAAAAGTATATCTATAATGCAGTTTAACGCCCGCAGCAGGGCTATGCCAGCTAATTAGGGCTCACAGGGCTTGGGCTGAACACTGAGCTCTCAGACACTCCCATCTTCCCTGAGCCCAAATGTCTACATTGCAATTAAACAGTCCCTCAACCCGATATCTGAGCCTGAGTCAGCTGGCATGGGCCAGCTGTGGGTTCTTAATTATAGTGTAAACATACCAGAGGAGGCTTGAACTTCAAAGTTATTCAAATGTGGTAAACTAATATCAGTACAGACAAAGTTAAAATCACTGATAGGTTATATCATCATAACATAATTCTAAATTTGTTTTTCTATGGCATTTGTAATTACCATTATAGTGTCAGCAAACACTATAGTTAGGGCTGCATAATAATTTCCTCTCTTATCCCACTTCAGTGGCTCAGAGTTTTCTAAAACCTTCACAAAATTAAACTGAAATTTTACAGATATTGGTCTCTGCCCAAGGGTGAATATGTAAAAAAGAATAAAACGCACAGTTCAAGAACTGCTTCAGAAATGTAGTCATTTATTGCTGGCCTGCACCAATAATAAATTTAGTTCCCTGCCTCTTTGCTCTATGAGTAACCTTAACTGTGTTCCATTGTACATATGTTGGAGTAATAAGCTTTGTGAGTAAGGGGGAAGTGGTAGACATTATATATCTTGAATTTAGTAAGGACCTTAATACTGTCTCACTTGGCCTTCTTATAAACTAACTAAGGAAATACAACTTAAATGGAGCTAATAATTGGTAGGGCCATAATTAGTTGGAAAATCATTCACAGAGAGTAGTTATCAGTGATTCACATTGAAGCTGGAAGGCATATCAAGTTGGGTCCTACAGAGGCAATTTCTGGGTCTGGATCTGTTAAATGTCTTAATAAATTATTTAGATAATGGCACATAAAGTACACTTATAAAATGTGTAGACAGTACCAAGCTGGGAGGTGTTACAAAGGCTTTGGAGGATAGGATTCAAATACAAAATTTCTGCACTTAGAAAGGAAAGATCAGTTGTAGACATACAAAACAGAAAATGACTGCCTAGGAGCACTGCGGAAAGGGATCTGGAGGTCATAGTGGATCATAAGCTAAAATATGTGTCAAAACTGTAACACAGTTGCAAAAAAGCAAATATCCTTCTGGATATATTAGCAGGAGTGTTGCAAGCAAGACACAAGAAGTAATTCTTTCTCTCTACCTTGCACTAATTAGGCCTCAACTGGAGTATTGTGTCCAGTTCTGGGCGCCGCATTTCAGGAGAGTTGTGGACAGATTGGAGGGGTCCAGGGAGGAGCAACAAGAATGATTAAAGCTCATGATCAAGCATGACCTATGAGGGAAGATGGAAAGAACTGGTTTTGCTTAGTCTGGAAAAAAAGAAGACTGAGAGGGAACATTATCAAGTATCTCTGGGTATGACTACATTACCCCCGCTAGTTCGAACTAGCGGGGGTAATGTAGTCATCCGCAGTTGCAAAGGAAGCCCGGGATTTGAATTTCCCGGGCTTCATTTGCATGAAGCTGGCCGGCGCCATTTTTAAATGCCGGCTAGTTCGGACCCCGTGCCGCGCGGCTACACGCGGCACGGACTAGCTAGTTCGGATTAGAAGCCTAATCCGAACTAGCTAGTCCGTGCGGCGTGTAGCCGCGCGGCACGGGGTCCGAACTAGCCGGCATTTAAAAATGGCGCCGGCCAGCTTCATGCAAATGAAGCCCGGGATTTGAATTTCCCGGGCTTCATTTGCAACTGCGGATGACTACATTACCCCCGCTAGTTCGAACTAGCGGGGTAGTGTAGACATACCCTAAAAGATTATTACCAGGAGGAGGGAAAAAAATTTCTCCTAACCTCTAACGATAGAACAAGAAGCAATAGGCTTAAATTGGAGCAAGGGCAGTTTAAGGTTGGACATTAGGAAAAACTTCCTAACTGTCAGGGTGGTTAAACACTGGAAAAATTGCAGAGGAAAGTTGTGGAATCTCCATCATTGGGGATTTTTAAGAGCAGGTTAGACACACACCTGTCATGGATGTTCTAGATAATACTTAATCCTGCAGGAGAGCAGGGGACTGCAATAGATGACATTTCAAGGTCTCGTCCCTTCTTATGATTCTATGCAATGCAACAGATTTTAATGGTTGTATGCAATTTCCTGAAGGATCGGCACAAAAGACTAGCTGAAAGTATTTGTGATGGTACTACAGTTGTTCTCCAGAGACTCACTTTTTTCTTAAATGAAAGCCAAGTCACTTAGTTATTGCTATTGTTAAAGTTATTGTTACTGTTGTGGAGAAAATCCTCAATTAAAACCTGAAGTAATACATATAATGAAAGGACTGGCCATTCCTTTCAAGGGATGCTAACTCAGATACCAGTTGAAATGTCAGCATTTCTTAGCTCTTTTACTCTTCATTGAAGAATATAAGAAAGGAGAGGAGCTATATTCTGAAGATCAAAAATGGTGGTTGGTGGTAGGCCCATACTAACACAGGTTGGGACTGAAGGAGAGCACAAACTCTTTCATTTTCCTGAAAAAGAAGTTCAGCTTTTAAAGTTTGGGTAACACTGATTTTAAAGGAGTAATAAAAAGACCAATTTTTTTTAACAATGACATCTCACACCTTCATGAATTAATTTATGTAAAACTGGGGGAAATTATAAATTTACAAAAATACAGACTTTAAACTTACGGCCCTTTGTGAATTAATTGAAGGCATATTTTATCTATGTTAAAATAAAGTTTTATTCTGTAGGCCCAGTTCATTTGATTCCATCACTGTGCTGTGATGAGACCTGTAGCATGGAGCACAGCAGTCACAGCTGCACTTTCCATTCTCAGACAACACTTTATGAAAGGTAACACAATTTTTAGACTGTATGAAGCATTAACTATTTTGCATGCTGGACAAATTAATATTTGTACAGGTTACATTAAAATAGTGCTAAATGAAAAACTTTGAACCGCTGGCAATCCTTTTTGCTAGATTCATAAAAAAATCATGTTATGGAAACAAATTCTGTATTTTCACCCAGAAGAAAAACTATACAAGATCCAAGCCATAAGTTTGAACTTAAGTAAAATAAAAGTAACACCTTCTGTGGGAGAGTGTCCTCATTTCCTCCCATGATGGACATTCTTCCCCTCTCCCAATTCTGCTTTGGCCTTTTGGTGACCCTCTATTCCCTGATGGGCTAGCAGGATATTGTTAGCCTCTGGTTTGCCCGGAACAGTTACAGCAGTAAACCAGAATTCTTCAAGACAGTGATATGGCTTATAATGTCCAGGAACACAGTTTATATGTTTTTGATTCTGAATCTTTAAATTGCTCTCCAAAATGGATAATCTGTTCTAGTACTTTTGAGAGTAAACTATGAGGTTGTATTTAATCATTTATGTGCAAATCAGGGATGTTAAATATTGGTTAATTGAATAGTCGATTAACCTCATTAATTCTTATCAGTTAAGCGACTATTCTATAGTCCCTGGGCAGCCCCTGTCCAGTGGAGATGGGTCTGAACTCCTGGACCCGGCACCAGCTAGAACTGAGCCGGGCTCGCTGCCCGCCTGGCTTTTAATAAACTTTAAATGCATAGCCACAGCAGGGGTAGGTCTAGGCCTCAATGCAAGCCAGGACTGAGCTGAGCTGTTGTCCAGTCTGCTAAAAAATTTACTGGCAAGTGTGGGGGGAAAATGCGTGTAGTCTTTTGCATTAACCTATAAGGTTTTTTCTTATCGCTTAATTGGTTAATGGACTATACTGTTACATCCCCAGTACAAAATGCCTGCTATTGGAAAAATGTAATGTTAATGAGTCCCATAGCATTAACTATTCATTCCTAATCAACTTTGCATCTAGCCAAATGTAAATACAGTAGTGGCACAGTTATTTATACATCATGTATTCTGTGTAGTGGGTAAAAATAGAAAGCTTTGGATGTCATCTGATATTTCCTAACTGTGGATTTTAACATAGAATATGTTTTAACCAGAATTGTTTTCTGTATAAGGTTTTGACTGGCCATCTGCTGTTTTATTCCTGTGGTCAAATATGACTAAACATTTAGAGGTAGTTTAAATAGCTGCCCTTGATACAGTATTGCTTAGTAGTCAAAGCATTCAATTTAAAACATGTAGACATTCTGCAGCTACTTCTATAAGTGTTAGCAAGGTTGACTCCGCCCCGTTATTCTTCCATTGCTGACAGATTGAGTTCCATGTCATTTGTGTGGGGTCTCCGGTTAGACTTGAAAAGTACAAGTCCTGCCAACTCTGTCAGGATATGAAAGACCCCATGGTGATTTCCATAAGAGTAGGTGTTTGCCCCAGTTTTTTTTCCCAGAAAAGTCTTTTTCCTTCAACTACACTGCAAAAGAAAAAAAAAGTGGCAGCAAGTCTCAGAGCCTGATTCAACTGACAGAGGCACAGGGAGCTTGTGCTACAGTGTTAATAAAACAGCCTGGGCTGTGAAACTGATATCCTTGCCTGAACAGGAGCATCTACACTATTTTTTTCAGTCCCATAAACCTGAGTCAGTTGACCTGGGCTCTGACAGTATGTCTGCACTGTAATTAAAAATTCTCAGCTGGCCCATGTCAACTGACTTGGGTTTGTGGGGCTTGGGCTAAGAGGCTGTTTAATTACAGTGTAGGCATTTAGGCTTGGGATGGAGCCTGCAGTCTATCACCATGTGAAATGGGGAGGGAGTCACAGAGCTCATGCTGCCTCCTGAGCCCAAATGTCTACATGGCACTTAACCCCTGAGCCGGAGCCGAGCCCCATGAACAGTTTTCCCTGTAAGCTGAGTGTTTGGGCAGCTACCCAGGAGAGATTGAGGTGCTGCCTAGCTGATTAGCAGAGCACCCACATCTGCCTGCAGCCAGCAGTTTTCATTTCTACTAGAGGTACACATCCTCACATACCTCGGTGCCCATAACAATGTATTCCACACATGGATGGAAAAAGTTAGGAGGAACTTTGGCATGGGGCAGCTGTGGCTTTTTTATTACAGTGTAGACATACCCTGAGATTCAATGCCATCTTTTGTAGGGCTACGTCTAGACTGGCATGGTTTTCCGGAAATGCTTTTAACGGAAAAGTTTTCCGTTAAAAGCATTTTCGGAAAAGCGCATCTAGATTGGCAGGATGCTTTTCCGGAAAAGCACTTTTTGCGGAAAAGCATCTGTGGCCAATCTAGACACGCTTTTCTGCAAAAAAAGCCCCGATCGCCATTTTCGCAATCGGGACTTTTTTGCGGAAAACAGTACTGTGCTGTCTACACTGTCCCTTTTGCGCAAAAGTCTTTCGGAAAAAGACTTTTGCCCGAACGGGAGCAGTATAGTATTTCCAGAAAAGCACTGACGATCTTACATGAGATTGTCAGTGCTTTTCCAGAAATTCAAGCGGCCAGTGTAGACAGCTGGCAAGTTTTTCCGGAAAAGCAGCTGATTTTCCAGAAAAACTTACCAGTCTAGACACAGCCTAGGTGTTTTTTAGTGTAGACATACTCTTAGACACATAGTAATAATAACCTTTACAAAAACTGATCTAAAATTGTGACTTACCTGAAAACTGCTTCCAGTTTCTTCTTTTTTGTGTAAGATAGAAGTAGTCCCTCTAAAAATAAAAATAACCTACCTATACTCTCTTATATTATGTATACTGAATGCAGAAATAGAAATTAGGGCAAAACATTTCTTACTAGTCATATCAGATATTATTTTGAAGGCTGATTGTAAAGGATGAAAAAGTCTAAAAAAGGGTGTTACTAAGAAGTATGAATGAGTGTGACGGACTATCAGCATTGTCTCTACCTTTCATAATGTTCCCAATGCCCTGCTGTCTTCAGATTTGAGAAGAAACATTGCTATCGCCAGAGTATTAGCTTAATGTGATCATGTTTAATTTTCTTAATGCAACACTTACTAGTCTCATAGGGTATGTCTACACTTGCCCCCTAGTTCAGACTAGGGAGGCAAATGAAGCATACCAAAGTTGCTAATAAAGTGTGGGATTTAAATATCCCGTGCTTGATTAGCATATTCGCGGCCGGTCACCATTTTAAAATGCCGGTCGCCCGATTTAACTTGCCGTGTGTAGACGCGGTAGTCCGATCCAAAACCCTTCCCTTGAATTAACTGTTACTCCTCATGCACTACACACGGCAAGTTAAATCAGGCGACCGGCATTTTAAAATGGCGAACGGACACGAATATGCTAATCAAGCACGGGATATTTAAATCCCGCACTTCATTAGCAACTTTGGTATGCTTCATTTGCCTCCCTAGTCTGAACTAGGGGGCAAGTGTAGACATACCCTATGAGTCTTTGGAGAATTTTTTCAAACCTGTTAACTTTTCTCTTTGCAGGACTTTAAATTCGGTGGGAGAAATGATTCCTGCATTCCTCGGTTCTCTTTCACACTCGGCCTGTGGGGACCTTTCAGATGCTTGGCCTCTTATGCAAAACACTACTTGTTGCGACAGCAACTCTTTCTGTGAATCTTATCCAGAGTTGACTAATGGAAATATCACTTCCTTCAATCCAGAGACTGAAAATAAAGCCAATAGAGATCTAGATAATGACCAGGATCTAAGTGATGTACTTATTTTAGCCAAGTCTCATCCTGGAATCTTTGCTGAATCCACTGAACTTTCTAAACAGAGCACATGTGTGGATGCTTCATTAGTTCAGAACTCAGCTGTTGGAAACCTGCCAATGTCAGAGTGTGATGAAATAGTTAATAACCCCACAGACTGATAATAAGGTAAGATACATATCTGTAAAGAAAAAATTAAGAAAAACTTTTTATTGTTAGAATGGTGCACTCTGAGGCAGAACTAGGTAAGTATGTATAAGTCCTCCTGCCATACTATAACACATACAAATAAAAGAGTTGGTGAAGTAATTTATACTATATAATTGTAAAACCTTCAACATTTTGACTGCATTAAATGCATGATATGAATTTTAAAAGTGTAATATTTTTTTCTATACTACAACGTGGCAATAGTGTGAATCAGAATGGAGGGAACAGAGTAGTTATTTTATCTTCTATATTTTGCACTTGTCTGACTTGCGCTGAAATACTGACCAGTGGTGGTGCCAGCTCTTCAAGAAGGATGTTAATAAATTGGAAAAAAGAGTTCAGAAAAGAGCAATGAAACTGATTAAAGGATTAGAAAACATAGTGGTAAAAAAAGAGTCTCAAACTATTTAGCTTAACAAAGAGAAGTTTAAGGAGTGACTTCTGCAAGTCTCTACATAAGGAAAAATACTTAATAAGGGTCTCTTCATTTTAGCAGATGAAGGTGGCTGGAAATTGAATGTAGTTTAAACCTACCAATGACATGTGCTCCATGCTACAGAAAAGACAGAAAACCCCAGAGTCCTTATCAGTCTGACCTAGGGGGAAATTCCTTCCCAACCCCAAATACAGTGATCAGTTGGATCCTGCATGTGTTATCAATACCCATTAGCCAGGCACCTGGAAAAGAATTCTCCGTAGGAACTCACAACCTTCACCTTCTAATGCAAGAAACCCTCATCATTCGCAATGGATGTGTTCCTGGTGCCACCACAAATGGTGAAATTCACAAATACTGGGAGCCAAGACTCCCAGCCCTGCAGTGAGCTCCCCGCAGCTCCCAAATTCATCACCAGGGTCAGGAGCCACAGGGAACTCACTGCAGCTGCCGGGAGCTGCAAAGAACTCATTGCAGATGCCAGGAACAGCTCCCGGCAGCATCAGTGAATTCCCCACAGTTGCCGCTCTCCCCTCCCACCCACCTCCGCTCCTTCCAGGCTTGGAAAGGAGACACACACACACCTCCATGAGTACACAGAACTATGAATAATGATTCTGTGAATCATGAGGGTCTCCTGTATGCCATCACTGGCCCATTGGAGATACAGGTTGAAACTCCATAATCCAGAGTTCCCTGATACAGCAACACCCCTGATCTGGCATTGTTGGGTGACCCCTGTGAGAGCACTCATGGACATAAGCCATCAGGCTGGGTCCAGGAGTGTTGACAAACTAGGGGGCCAAGACGGAGCCCCAGGAACAACAGAGCCACTGGGAGGAATGTAAAGCCCCTGGTCCTTTATAGGGGGGTGGGGAGCATAGCTCCTTGTCATGGTGGAGGGCAGCAGTATGTCTGGGCCATAGTGGCATGCTGGGAGGAGGGGGTACTGCATAAACGCTGAGAGGAGCACAGAGCCACTCAACTGACAGCAGAGCCACTTGGTGGAGCATGGAGCCACCAGGTGGCAGTTGTGCTGCTGGGGGGACCATGGAGCTGCCGGGCAGTTGCAGAGGCCCCGGGAAGCGGCAGAGGACAAAAAGGAATCCCCGGCCATTAGCAGGAGCACAGAGACCCAGGTGACAGCAAAGCCACCAGGGAGAGAGTGAAGCTCTGGACAGCAGTGGAGTCCCCGGCTACTGTGGGGAGAGCAGAGTCCTGGTGAGGGAGTGGAGCCCTGAGTGGCAACTAAGCAATGGGGGGGGGAAGTAGAACTCCCTTTCCCCAGCACTGTGGGAAAAGCAGAGTCCTGGGTGGCAGTGGTACAACCAGTATTTGTATTCCATTGTAAACGGTCCCAGCATACCATTCCTTCCATAAATTTATCAAGCTCGATCTTGAAGATGGTTAGGATTAGGGTTTCTGTCCCTACTACTCTCCTTGGAGGCTGTTGCTGAACTTCACTCCTCTGAGGGTTAGAAACCATTATTTAATTTCAAGCCGAAACTTGTTGGACAGTTTATATATATTTGTTCTTGCATCTATATTGGTGCTTAACTTAAATAACTCCTCTCCCTCCCTGCTATTTATCTCTCTGATGTATTTATAGAAAGCAACCATGTCTCTCCTTGGCTTTCTTTGGTTTCGGCTAAATAAGCCAAGATCTTTTAATCTTATCTCATAAGGTAGGCTTTCAATTTCTCTGATCATCCTAGTAGTCCTTCCTTGTGCCTGTTCTAGTTGGAATTTATCTTTCTTAAACATGGGAGACCAGAATTGCACACCATATTCCAAATAAGGTCTCATCAATGCCTTCAATAATGGTACTTACACTTCCCTGTCTTTACTGGAAATACCTCGCCTGATGAATTTTAGGACTGCATTAGTCTTTTTCATAAGCACATCACATTGGTGGTTATAGTCATCCTGGAGTCAACAATACACCCAGGTCTTTCTCATTCTTTGTCACTTCCAACTGGTAAGTCCCCAGCTTATAGCAAAAATGTGTTGTTGATATCCCTACATGCATGACTTATTAAATTTCTGACTAGATTATTACAATATGCCCTTCTGGCTTTGGTCTGAGGTAACTATAATTTTATAAATAGTGTGTAATCATGTTATTAAAAACTATAGAATAATAGCATGTACAGAAAGAGATAAGAAGAGTGGTGTTATTGTAACCCATGACATTTCTTTTTCCTGACTTTTGAGGGCTTATCCATGCAGCTTTAAAGTTCTTTTAACATCATTTTATAATAGAATATAGTCCGTAATATCTGGAAATGATTCTGTATATTAGGTTACTGATTACTAAACTCAATTCATAGTTTCAGAAGAGATAGCTAATTAATACATGTTTGTAAATAAAGCATTCTTGAAGATGAAATGTATCATAGATGTCGAAGTATATATTTACATTACAGTATACTGCTCCATAGCTTGTAAATGCCTCTGATCAGGGATCATTGTGTCTATAAAGCTCAGTGCCTACTGGCACTTAGCAAATATTGACTAATATCTAGGAACAACATTGTTTCCAATGTCCAAAAAAGGTTCCATGAATCAAAGTGCTAGGTCCATTAAAATAGGTCTACTGGACTTCAGCCAAAATTATTACTTATGGGCACATTTGTTGTTTGATGCCAAATCAAGAAGGCCATGTTCTCAAAAGTAAATTTGTGTGATGTGGAACTACCAAGTAAATAGCTCCTTTTTTGGAATCAAGTCCTTGAAACCAGTTTGGACAAAGATGCAGCAGACTGAGATAGAATACACTAGGCCGAACTCTAATGAGGTGACACCATAAAAATGAGATGACACAATGGAAATGAGGTGACACCAAAGAACAGAACTAGCAATCATAAGAATTGTACCAATAAGTATAAAGCCAAAACTATATCATGTATTGATTTATGAACTGCTCTCCTATTAAACAGAGTGAAATTCAATACTCTCTTCATTCACTTTAATAATATGAGGATATTTGATCTTATGTGGAAATCCTTCTTGATTTTGCATTTGAAAGTCTATTCCTTGCCAACCATATTTGTTGGTATCTTCCCTTTGTGTTTGAGATTTGGATATTGTTAACAGTAACCAAGATTATTTTGGTTAGTTGGTTAGTATTATTTTTCTTCATCTGTCTTCTTTTCTATATTTAGCAGAGATTAGATATGATATTTTATTTATCTGGCATAAACTTTCCATGTGGAATCTCAACATTGCATCAGTGCATAGGCATTTTTTTGGTTAAGACAATTTAATGACTTTTGGGGAAGACAATACAAGGCAGACTTCTGGACAGACCAATGAACTGATGCTGAGACCTGAACTGTAATTCCAGATCTGCTACTGACCTATTACATGACCATGGGAAACTCATTCCTATTCAATCCTTTCCTCTTGTGCCCTTTGTCTGCCTAATCTATTTACTCTGCAGGTTCTTTGGGGAAGGGACTGCCTTTCGGCTAAGATCATGTGTTTGAGCGTCAAGCACAATGGGACTCCAATCTTAGTTGGGTCTCTAGGCGCTATTGCAATGAAAGTGATTTTTAACAGAGCTTGGAATTGCGTGATTGTACAATTAAATTTACAAAGGAATATATATAAGACACAAGGTCAGTTTCTTGCCTGCTTTTGTAATTTGTTTTGTTGCTTTTATATTCGATCACCATAAAATCAGCAACAAATTAACATTTTAGGTATAGAAGGACATACAGTTTTTATGTGATTTCATGTAACCACTGTTGTGTCACTTTCTTTTAGGAAGCCAACAGGAGTGTTTCTGCCAAAAATAGAACTGAATGCTACCTTAATGCCTGTCTGTTGATACTCGTGAAATGAACACCGCCTAGGTCCTAGGTGTTACATGGTTTCGGAAACAGCAGAAATTAATTGGCAGCATATTAGACCTTTCCGTAAGTTGCATCTGAGCCATAACAGCTCTGTAAGCTGAAACGTCAAGGAACATCTTGAAAGAAGACTGAGCTGGAGTCATGATATTTAAAAAGATGCTATAGTTCAGTGGTTATTATTATTGGGAAGTTATCTGGCCTGTGTTATAGAGGAGGTCAAATCAACTGATCAGAAGGGTCCATTCTGGCCTTGGAATCAGTTGTTGAACTTCACATGTCTTATAAACAACAATCTTCTTTGCCTCAAAGAGGCTTGAAAAGCCTAAGAAGATTTTGTAAATATAACAGAAAGAATTACATTAGTGTGTTTGTACTGATCTATTAAATATGGCTACAAATGACGGAAGATGTGGGGCAGAAGTTTGCCAGTTACCCTGTTTGCAAATGAATGATGTATTAGGAAGTTGCCCTGGCTAGATGTCATGCTCACAATTTCTACTGTAGAATGAGTTAAAAAATAAATGCTTCTATTTATGTGATAATCATCTATTGATAAAATTAATTTGCATTATGTATTACACTTTAGCCATTAAGCTACTCTTGGGAACTAAGCAATTTGCATGTTATAGTAATATGTATTATTAAAATTCCCTGAAAACATCACACTTTTTAAATCAGGAGATTCACCTTAATATAGATTTAGATTTATAAAAATCATCCTAATAGCTAGGGGGTTTTGTATTTGTTGTTTGGTATGTTTAGTATGTGGAAGGGTCAATATATTGGACTTGTTATATCATGTACTTTTTAGATGTTGAAATAATTTTTGTAATAAACTGCCATGTCAAATTACAGTAAACATACCATGAAAGTATTCGTATAAGTCAGAGCTAAACTATTACAATAGTAATGTATAATTTTCAGGGGTCATATCTTGGTGACCTAGTCCCTTCGTAAACATATACCTTAATTAAACCATCAAGTTATGCATATGACTTAACTGAGTTAAACATATCATCTTACGGCTGTTCTTTTCCCCATCATCTCTCTAATATTTCTTAGCCCTAACATTGCATTTTTCATTGGGTGTATTCACCACATATAGTGCTTACAATCAGTAATTCTAGTGGACTGCACTA